AGATCTGATTCAATGGTAGATCAATACTGGAGTCATGTGGGCAGCTCGTGCGTTTAGATTCCCCAAATCGAGGTGAGTTCTGCATTTTTTTTTTTCTTAATCTTTTTGAACTGTTTGTAATGAGGATATATACCTGTCTCTTATACACATCTAGATGTGTATAAGAGACAGAGATTAGCATGGTCACTGTGCAAGGATGACACACATAAATCGAAAAATGTTCCTTTTTTTCCTCTTCTTTTTTTTTTAAACACACGTGGTACAGCAGATGGAGACCTGGTCCGCGTGTCGGACAGGTGGTCTACGTACGCCGTTCGGCATCGACTGCATGTGGTTGACCACGTCTGCATCTGGGATAATACCAAGCGGAGACGTGGTCTACGACATCTTCTCCATGTCGTTGACCAAGACTCCATCTGCTAGACCACGTCTGCATGTCGTCAACCACGTCTCCATCTTGTGTACCAAGTGCCAGGTCTGCATGGCATAGACCACGTCTCCATCTGGTATACCGAGTGGAGACGCGGTCTGCGGCGGCATCTTCTGCATGCCATAGACCACGACTCCATCTACTAGACCACCTGCATGTCGTAAACCAACTTGAGACGTGGTCTAGGACATCTTCTGCGCGTCGTAGACCAAGAGTCCAATTGCTAAAACGTGTCTGCATGTCGTAGACCACGACTGCATGTTGTAAACCAAGTTGAGACGTGTCGTAGACCACGACTCCATATATTAGACCACCTCTGCATGTCGTAAACCAAGTTGAGACGTGGTGTCTGACATCCTATGCATGTCATAGAGCAAGACTCCATCTGATATACCACGTCTGCATGTCGTAGACCACCTCTGCATGTCGTAAACCAACTTGAAGTTGAGACGTGGTCTGCGACATCATCTGCACGTCGTAGACCAAGACTCCATCTGCTACACCACGTCTGCATCAGATATACCAAGTGGAGACGTGGTCTAGGACATCGTCTGCATGTCGTAGACCAAGACTCCTATTGCTAAACCGTGTCTGCATGTCGTAGACCACGTCTCCACGTCTGCATGTCGTAGACCACGTCTCCATGTCTGCATGTCTCCATGTTGTAGACCACGTCTCCGTCACACGAGGTCTATGTGACGGAGACGTGGCCTAACAATAAGAGCCTTGGCCTATGAGACGCGAACCTGTAGTTAGAGATGGAGATCGGGTCTACGAGAGGCGAGCCTCTAGTCTTTGAGATGGAGGTCAAGTCGATGAACCCGAAACCATAGCCTGCTGCGTGGACTTTCCCTCACGGCTACCTCATCTACGCGGAGAGACCATGCTGTACGAGATGGAGGTCGGGGGTTCGACGCGGGAGGTCAACTGACCCACGAGACTGACACCTGGCATGCGAGACGAGGAAAATGGAGCGATACAGAGAAGATTAGCATGCCCCAAGTAATGGCCTCGTCACTATACACTAATCAGACCTATGAGCACTTCGACTATCCGAAGATTCTAAAGAAACTCGTATGCCCATGTACCGTCAAAGGCACTAAAGCTGGTTTGCAAGAAAAAAAAACAAGAGGGAAAAAAAATAAAAAATAATAATAATAATAATAAAGTGAAGAGGAGATAGATAGATAGATAGATAAGATAAGATAAGATAAGATAAGATAAGATAAGATACGATACGATAAGATAGAAAGATGAGATCAGAATCATCAGATAAGATAAGAAATATCAGATAATATAAGAAACAACAGGTAAGANTAAGATAAGATACGATACGATAAGATAGAAAGATGAGATCAGAATCATCAGATAAGATAAGAAATATCAGATAATATAAGAAACAACAGGTAAGATAAGAAAGATCAGATAAGATGAGAAAGATAACATAGAAAGATCAGATAAGATAAAGTAAAAAAAGATAGATAGATAGATAGATAGATAGATAGATAGATAGATAGACAGATAGAGATAGAGCGAGAGAGAGAGAAAGAGAGAAAAAGAGAACAAGAGAGAGAGGGAAAGGGGCAGAAAGAGAGAGAAACAAAAATCATTTTGCGGGTTTGCGAAGTACTGAGCTAAGGTCCCACGTACCGTCTTAAGACTGTCTCTTATACACATCTAGATGTGTATAAGAGACAGGATAGAGCGAGAGAGAGAGAAAGAGAGAAAAAGAGAACAAGAGAGAGAGGGAAAGGGGCAGAAAGAGAGAGAAACAAAAATCATTTTGCGGGTTTGCGAAGTACTGAGCTAAGGTCCCACGTACCGTCTTCCCCCGAATAGAACGTACAGTGTCAGTTACTACAGCTGTATTAGGGGCAACTTTCATTCTAGACAGTCATAATGACCATACGCTCTATTCGGGTGAAGATGGTAGGCGGACTCTCTGTCTCTAGCCGTTGATCGGCTCTGGATCTGTGGACTCTCTGTCTCTATCTGTGGACTCTCTGTCTCTAGCCGTTGATCGGCTCTGGATCTATGTTCTGAACGGCAAACTGAAGTGATCAGTCATAATGAGGGTGTGTTGTGTTCGGGGTAAAACATATTCGCCCCTACCTCGGTGTCAATAAAATAACACATTGAAGGTGTTACCTTTTTCCCCCCCCAGGGGCAAGGTCCCACTTGCACGGATTAAGAGATTCTGGCCGTTGATCTTTGCTATCTATGGTCAATATCGCTTAATTCGTGTAAGTGGCACCTAGCCCCGGGAGACATTGAAGGTGTTAGGATTTTACCGGTATCAGCGCTTCTGAAACAATTGGCCTCGATCCACTACTTAACACTCCACACGCATTTGGACGCCTTTCCGGATCGGTGCATTCAGAGGAGTCCAACAGTTTGAAGGTATTTGGACTTATCACGAGCTCCAGATACATATAAAATGTTTTGTGGTGGAGCGAGGCCCAGTGGCTACACGTTTTCAGGCCGTCGAACCCACACTCCATAACTCCACGTAGGCACAGCTTTTTTTTTTTTTTTTTTTTTTTTTAAACGAGGGACGACGATACTTCCAAGGCGGTTTGCGGACCTCTCTGCTCGTGGATAAACATTACCTACCGTTAGAACAATGCGCGTGCCCACTGGCCTAGCTCCGTTGGTATACACCTGAGCTGGTGAAATACAGACGTTGGCGGTGACGTCCGGGGGCTAGGTCCCACTTGGACGAATTAAGAGATACTGACCGTAGATAGCAAAGATCGACGGCCGAAATCTCGTAATTTGCGCAAGTGGGACCTTGCCCCAGAGCTTACTAGAAAAAAGTGCAACTGAAACGTCTGCCTTGGCTACTACAGTCGGTACACCCGGATTCATCGGGCGTTTCTTTTTTTTTTTTCTTCTTTTTTTTCTTTTTTGCTTCAGAACTCCTGCCTTTTCTTTTTCTTTTTTTTTTCTTTTTTTTGGGTCCCATTCTCCCGTGTCGCACATCTCCATATCTCAAAAAAAAAAAAAAAAAAAAAAAAAAAAAAAAAAAAAAAAAAAAAAATCGTATCATCCCCTTGGCTACCGGTAGTAAGACTGTGCCCCTCAGCTCGAACTCCACAAGAAGCAGCTGTGTACTAGGGTCGGTCCTGTTTCAAGGCCTTCGCCCTTCCTAAAAAGAAAGAAAGAAAAAAAGAGCGAGAAAAAAAAAAAGACCAAATGGAAGGGGCCGTATCTACCGTTGCTTTCCTCTTTCTTTTTTCTTCTTGCCCCAGTGCCAGAGGTTTTACTTCGCAAAAAATCACACAAAAGATCCCTCGGCTGAGCCTGAGCAGAAAGAGGGACGATAAGGCTGAGCCTGAACAGAAAGAGGGACGATAAGCCGGCTGAGCCTGAACAGGAAAGGGACGATAAGCCTCGCGCCTTACAGACTGAGGCCGAGATCCTCCCTCACAAAGGGTGGGGGTGGGGGGGGGGGGGGGGTAAAAGAACCCCAAGTTGATCATTACGCTAATGATCAACAAGAGAGGCTACCCAAATCACGTGTACTCAGAAAGCAGCGCATAGCTATACAACTTAGTCCAAGAAGGGTCAAACCTCTTTTTTTTTTTTTTTTTTTTTTTTTTTAACACCCCGGGTGATGCTAGAGATGGTGGCCAAGAAGGGTCAAATCACACTCTGTTTCCACAAAAGTCAGAGAAAGACAGGACCCCTGTAAGCACATCCATTTCTATCTTAGCAGGGCAAGGTGCCCAACATTTTGTGAACCAACAACGCCCCGCCTGCAAAGAGCGATTTGTGGAAACATGCATTTGGACGCCTTTTGGATCGCTGCATTCTGAGCCTTCTTCTGCCAATCTACCGTTAATTTCTATTCGTAGTTCGTCTCTGGTTTCTTTTCTTGATCATGTCCAGAACGCAGGGAAAAAAAAAAGAAAAGACAAGCAGCAAAGTGCTGAGGAACACAGACCAAACAACAGTTGTAGCAGCCGCAATAGAAAAGAGAGAAAAGAGAGAGAGAGAGAGAGTGAGAGAGAGAGAGAGAGTAGCAGATTATCGTTGGATCTTCTGAGTTACCGTTTTCACCCGAATAGAACGCCCGGCGATTATAACTGCATTTAGGCCACCTTTCAATCCCGATACAGCCATCCTGACCGCGCGTGAAGGCGGTAACCGGGTTGGCTCAACTGATTCTTCACATGGTAAGGGGGGAAAAAGGGGGGGTTTGTGCATTCGTGATATCAGAGTGTGTTTACCGATGGGCTTAGCTCAGTTGGAACGCCCGCAATCTCAAGGTCGCCGCCCTTTCAAATTATTTAAAAAAAAAAGAAACAAAAAAAGTAATGGTTGGGGGGCAACATGCATCCCCTTGATTGTGAGAGGAAAAAAATATATAGCTTAGCTTAAAAAAAGAAGAAGAAGAAGAAGAAGAAGAAGAAGAAGAAGAAGAAGAAGAAGAAGAAGCAGAAGAAGAGTGGCCAGCTTGACAACTGAATCGCGGCCAACGTAGCATCGAAGCGTCTCTGACCGAGAGATGGAAACTATCGAAATCGACGAAAAAATGCGAGAAACCAAAACATACTACAAACCCCTGAACTGCTGAAATACAGACCTGATATCGAATTCAACTGGAAGCAAATGAGCAAAATACTAAACAAAATTATAAAAAAAAAACTCCCCAAGTCGACAACTGAAATACAGACCTGAGTTGGAATTCAACTGGAAGAAAATGAGTAAAATACTACACAAAATACAAAATAAAAAAGACTCCCCAGCTCGACATCTGAATCCCGGCCAACGTAGCATCGAAGCGTCTCTGACCGAGAGAGAGAAACTATCGAAACCGACGAAATGCCAGAGAAACCAAAACATACCACAGACCCTTAACTGTTGAAATTGAAATACAGACCTCAGTTCGAATTCAGGTGAAAGCAAATGAGTAAAATAGTACATTACCTTCGGCCGGTCAGTTCGATGATCATATCTCAAGGCCGTCGTTATATTATCGGGGTGTGTGTGTGTGGAAGAGAGGGGGGGGGGAGAGGGGAGGCGGGGAACTACTAACTGGCATAGCTCAGTTGGTACACCCACACCCTGTTGAATGCAGACCCGAGTTCGAATTTAACGGTTTGCATTCGACGACGCCAGCTCGACAACTGAATCGCGGCCCACACAGCATAGAGCTGACTGATTGTTTGTTTACAGAGATAGGAACACTATCCAAATAGAAAAAAACCCAACCCACAGACTATTTCTAAAAGATCTATCGGCTATCCGAATAGCAGAAACCAAAACAACAAAGACTGGGTTCTAAAATATTTTTGGGCAGTCGTGGGCGTTCGCTATACAATCCGCTCGTTGTTTGGCTGCACCAGCATCACTGGTAGGAGGTATAGAAGAAGGATCATGGCGTTCGTCCCTCTTTTTTTTGTTTTTTTTTTGTTTTTTGTTTTTAAAGGCTAATTCTTTAAGCCCAACCAATTCAATTACCTGTCAAATCTGGACAGGACGGCCTTTCAGGCCTTTTTTATTGTCATTATAGTATTACGGGAACCCCGTAGCAGCCACATCCGTGCTCAAGCCTCCAACGAGGGAACATGCGAGAGCTGCACCCACCAGCAGGTGCGATACCTGCTACAGCAGGTGGGCGATACCGGCCAGGGGTCAGCCGGTAGCATCAGGACCGAGCTTCTTCGATGGGCCAGTCACTTTGCCTCCCCTCCGGTCCCCTCCCCCTATGAACATCAGCAGTCTCTGCTCAATGCCACTCGGGGGGACCAACGGCATATCTCTAGGTGGCGGGTGCCAAGCTTGCCCAGGAAGGTGCATGAGGCCAATGGGGATTGAACCCACGAGCTCCTGAATGCCACTTGCGTGCCTTACCAACTGAGTTAGGCCGCTGGATACCCCTCTTTATTTGCGCCTCGTTCGGCATGGGAAAAAAAAAAAAAAAAAAAAAAACTTCCAACTGGCCTAGCTCAGTTGTACACCGACAAACTGTTCAAATGCAGACCTGAGTTCAAAGTCCAATGCAATCACACGAGTTCAAAAAAAAAAAAAAAATTAAAAAAAAAAAAAAAAAAATACTCCGAAATTACTTGGGACCGGTCAGTTCAGAGATGAGAGAGGCAGGGGGCACCTCATGCGCATGGGAAAAAAACAAAACACTCCAAAATTGTCGCCTTTTCATTAAAAGAAAAGAAAATAAATGAGGGTTGGGTTGGGGTGGGGGATGGGGGGCAGGGGGCACCTCATGCGCACGGGAAGAAAAACGGGTGGACAGGGGCAACAATACTGTTCCTTTTTTCTCTGTAAGTAAGTCTTAGAGGGAAAGGAAAGGCGTGGAGGCAATGCCATGCTCTAAAACATTCACAGAGAGAGGGGGAGAGAGAGAGAGAGAGACAGAGGGGGCTGGAGAAATGCAATGCTTAAAACACAGAGAGGGACACAGACAAAGAGATAGAGAGAGAGGGGAGGTGGAAGAAAAGGAGGAGGAGGAGGAGGACAAACAGGTAGAAAGAGAGCGGAATAATCAGGGATCAGTCAGCGAGAGAAACGAAACTTACCATCCCCAACTATACACTTTTTTTCGTGTCTTGGAGTAAGCGACGGTGTGATCAGCTCCGCAGGTGATAGTGGATACCTCGCTGTCTTCTAATGGTGCAATGACGTGAGGTGTGTTCCTCTCTTCAGCGTCGCCATGGCCGAGTTGTCCATCCTCACCTCTTCCCCAGGAAACAACTACATTATCGGTCAGAAGTGCCACCGAATGACTTGCCCCACAAGATATGGCCACCACTCTCCTCACCACCTTCTCCAACTTCTCATTCCCTTCCTCACCCATTTTCCCTTCCAAAACCCACTGCTTCTCCTCACACACACCCCGAACACTCGCGTTACTACTACTACTACTACTACTACTACTACTGCTATTCTTCTTCCTCCTACCAATACTACTCTTCTTCTGATGATGATGATGATGATGCGGCACTTTGTTGCCTTTCAGTTAGAGATAGTCGTCGGGTGGTCTGGCCATGTCATATGCTATGTCCTCCTGTTATATCCTGTTGATACTGGTATATCCCTGCGACCCTGGGCTGGAGGTGGAACCGGTGGCGCTTCTTCTCTCGCGCTGCAGCTGCGGGTAAAGCCGGGACCGGTTGGGTTTTGTCATTTTAACCCTTCAGGCACCGACGAATTCTCTTTCGCATCGGCACTTTCCAGATTTGGACCAGCAAACGGATCAACAGTGAACTCCTTCCTTTCTCATGTTCACCCTGCCATCTGCAGACAATTGGCTGGTACAAGGCGACGGCACCTCTCCTAGAAGCTTCCGCCGTTCTCCCACCATTCCGCCTCTGAAAAGGCTCATGATCGTCGTTCCTCCCATCGGCTCAGAATTCATCTGCTCATTAAAATCGGCCCTCTCTCTCTCTCTCTCTCTCTCTCTCTCTCTCTCTCTCTCTCTCTCTCTCTCTCTCTCTCTCTCTCCCCGACGATATCGGCCCGAGTACACAAGGAGGCACGCACGTGCGCTCGCGGTTCCCCGCTCTCAGGTTTGCTGGGCTGGCTGGCGGGAGTGGCCGCTCCCACCGGCGGACCCGTCCCTCGCGGTTGCTCAACTGGCTAGGCCTGAGCGCTCTTTTGCCCCGTGCGAGCCGACCGCTGCTCTGGGCAGCGCCCTCGCCCACCTTCGGTCTGGGCAGCACGTGCAGCTGTCAAAGCTTTGAACATGTCATCAATCGGAAGATGATGATCGCCTAAAGCGCGCCACTCAGTTGAGATCCTTATTCAGCGGCGTATTAAACAATCCAGACCATCGATCAGCCATCCCCAGCAGCACCTGTCCTTACACCCAGCAACAGCCAAATTCTTTTTTTTCCCCTCAACCCCAACTTTTCAACCGTTTGTTTTCCTTTTTCTCCTCCTCTTTATTTCTCGACTGTTTGCTGGAGTAGCTCGATTCGGAGCTCAGGGCAAAGAGCCAACGCGCAAGCAGTCACTTTCCCTGTTTCCTCCCCCGCCCGCGCCACCCGTCCCTCGCTCCCCGCTCAAATGCAAATTTTCCCTCTTTTCATTCTCCTCTCTTCGATTCTCTCGCATTCTGTTTGTCATCCCGCCGGCGCGGGGTACGATGGCGTTCGTACACGCCAGCCCACGTTTCACGTTTCATCCCCCTTCCCGCCTTTCTGATTCGCTCCGCCAACCCACGAGCGCAACTATGGGCGTCGCCACACCACTCTCGAAATGTGCAAATTGAGAACGAACTTCCCGCTAGAACATGGCCAGACGCGCCCGCCAAATTTTGAGAGCGGTGTGGCAAGGCCCTATACCCCCGCCAAGTTGAAGCGCAGGGGGCCGTAAGCGGGCGATGCGGGCGATGCGGGCGATGCTGTGCGGTGCTATGTTATGCGATGCGATGCGATTCGATTCGATTGGCACGATCGCCGCTCATGCACGGGGACTGCCCAGGCGTTGGCGGGCACTGGCCGGTGCACGGCGTCTCTGTGCCAGGAACGTGGTGGTCCCAGGGACCTGAGGGACGTGACCAATATTTAATAAACTGAATGATCCAATCGCCGTCAATCGGAGTAACCGACGGTGACAAACGAGTAACCGGGATCGGGAAAAACCGAACCTACCGAGTTCACCCAAATAGAACGCACGCTCATCATCGCTGTTTCAGTCTTCATATGACCGTGCGTTCTATTTGGGGGGCAAAACCGGCCCGATTGTGTGTGTGTTTTTTTTTTTTCTTTTTTTCTTTTTTTGTCAGTGGCCGACGGCTTCTCGGTTTGTGCGTCTCAGCGCATACTTCCGCTACGGGTAGCGCTTCCCCGACTGCAACTACGGCCCGACCTAGATGCATCTGACCGTAATCACGTCCACAGATAAGAAAAGTCCTAATTGCAAAGGGGGCCCACGGTGGTAGTCCGGGGGCTGGAGTTGGTGTTGGAGGGCTGGAATGTGCTGCGGACTATCTTCTCCGAATCTGTCGCCAGAAAAGAAGGTTCCAGTCATCTAGATGTCCTGTTTCTGACCGTAAGAGACGACCGTCAGTGGACAGAAAACGCGCGGGGAGAGGTCGCCGGATTTGATTTTCTTGGGGGGCAGACTAGTGCCAGACTCGAAGCCCGCCATGTATGGTCCCACCCCCGAGTGGCATTGAGCAGAGACTGCTGATGTTCATAGGGGTAGGGGAGGCACAGTGACAGGCCCATCGAAGAAGCTCCTGATGCTACCGGTTGACCCCTGCCCGGTATCGCCCATCTGCTGTAACAGGTATCGTACCTGCTGGTGGGGGTGCAGCTCCCGCATGTTCCCTCGTTGGAGGATTGAGCATGGATGTGATGGGATTGAGCATGGATGTGGCTGCTACGGGGTTCCCCATAATAATACTATAATGACAATAAAAAAGGCCTGAAAGGCCGTCCTGTCCAGATTCGACAGGAAATCGACAGGTAATTGGGAAAAAAAAAAAAATAGACATGACATTGAACTGAAATGCTCCGCTCGCCATGGACAGAGGACAGAACGTTTGAAATGCTCTTCGATTGGCGCTCACAAACGAAATCCATTACATTATACATTACAAGTCGCTCCACTACTGTCGACATGTGCAAAACGAGATTGAACCTTTCGCATGATTTTTTGTCTTTTGTGCATGTCGAGAGCCGTGGAGCGACGCCCAAGTGCCGAGTAAAAGCGCCATCTCCTCCCCCTCCTTGAGGTATCAGAATCGAACGGAGCGGCTCCCTATTTTTGAGGTCTTGAGGGTGCACTTCCATTCATCGGATCGGCCAGATTCGAACTCCGGTGGCTGCATCAACAGTTCATGGGTGTACTATTTTTATTTTCCCTTCTTTTTTTCTTTTCCTTCTTTAAATTCTTCAAGAAATCATCACTTCCGGGTGTAACCATTTCATTCTGCCACATGGGCCAGGTGGTTACAGATTTTTTTATTTTTTTTTTTCGTTTTTGCTCCTTATGGATTGTGTTTGCTGGAGATTCATCCCGCACGTACATGTGGCTCAACTTTCCGTGAGAATATCCCCCCGTCTAAACCCAGGCAGCAACTGGTGGCTCGAAATGCGGCGCCCACGAGGACGGCAGATTACTGCCGCAGCGACGCTTCGAACACAACATTGCAGACACAGATTAGAGAGGCGGGCTTCAATGTGAACAAGACCGCCAACCTAAAGCAGACGGTCACACAGCTATTTGTTTTTTCCTGTTTTTCGCGGAGTGTGAGATGATGTGTATAGATTCAACGTCTGCAAGCGCATTGTCATTACAGTTCACCGTAGTAGCGCCGAGTGTGCAGAGTGGAGTTGATGCAAGGGACACTGGACCGGTTTTCCAGTCATATTAATGGGGTGGGGAGGGGAGGGGGGGGAAGGCTTTCAACCCCGCAGGGGTCGGCTCTGGGCAAAAGCAAAGCCCCCCTCTTAAGGTTCATAGCCAATGTGGCATCCGTAGGACAGGAAGAGTAGCAGAATGATTGTTTGGCAATCATGCGCCATGATTCACGATTTTCCCAACTCTGTCCGAGACACATACACGTGCAGATTGCACATTCGTTTTGCGTTTTTTTCTTCACAAGCTGGCAGTTTTCAGGCTAAGGGCCTCGTTAGACACTCCTTACGGTTTCCTTGAGCCACAAGGAAACGTCCTTGTGGATTTTTACGGGAATTTGCGGCGTCGTTCCACTCATCCTTGGGGATGTTCCCCGAGGATATTTCCTTGTGGCTTCCCCGTGGCCATTTTCATACGTAAATTAGCGGCCGCGGGGTCGGACGTCCGTGGTCCAGCTTCTTTTGTCCGTGCGGAGGCGGCGTGGTCCAGCGACGCGAGGCGGGAAACGGCAGACGGCAGGCAACGCGGAAAGAAATTTAACCCCAAGGGCGTGGGCATTTCAAATTCAAAATTCGAACGACTGCTGCGACGACGACGACGACGTGTGCCTGGCGGCGCGACGGTGGCGTGTTTACGAAAAGGGGCTGAGCGGCGGCGGAGGTTCCATCCCCAGGCCGTTGCGACTGCGCGGGCAGAGTTTGGTGCTTCCATCGCCGTGGACCTTTGCACATGTCGACTGCGCGTTGCTCCTCTTTGCCGTTTGCGGGACTGTGAACATAGAAAAGGGGCCGCCTTTCGTCGGACGTCTTCAACTTCCTGGACGCGTGCGGAAGTACGACACAAACGGCAGCTGAACGACGGGACCTCATCTTCATCGTCGCGGCTATGGAGGGCGGCGGAGGGTAGACGTGATCCGTTGAGTCATCGTGAGCTGCAGGCCGTGGCGACAGCCGTGTCCACGATCGTTCTTCGATGTCAGCAGGAGAGGGCGCTGGGGCGACTGAAGGAGCAGTTGCGCGCGCGTAGATGGAGGAAATTGACACAAGATCCGTTCGATGGGGCCGATTACGTCGCGATGTCGGAGGCTGTTGTTCAGTTGTGCTACGCGTTGGGTTGCAGAGTGATACCACGTGCGATGCCGCGGTGGTGGGTGAAGCGCAGGATAGGAGGCACGTGGGAAGATCACGTGGCCGACAGGACTTCGTAAACTCGTCGTTCTGCGAGCCGCGACCGGGACGAGGCCGACGAAACACACGTGGAAGAAGACAACGACGAGAAGCAGCACGACGACGAGGACCAGTAGAGGCAGGCTGTGCAGCAGGTCGGCCATGTAAGGGCCGCTCGAAGGGCTGCAGTGTGACGTCGGCGGTCGACCGTTCAACGAAGAAGCCCGTTGACAAAAGAAAGATCGGTGAAAGTTTTGTGCTCCAACGTGCGAGGCGTGACGACAATCGAAGAAAATGACGATCTTGTCCAATGAGACTGTCGTCGTCGAAAGGGCGCCTGGTGGGAAAAGCATTCGAATTTCGGACCGTTGTCGACGATCGCCCGCCGCAGCAGACCTAAGTGGACGCCGGTCGGCATTTCGCGCCGACGGACGGAGGCCTCCCGACGCCGCTTACCGTTCGGAGCCGTTGGGGCGCCGTGCAGATTTTGGACGCAGGGATGTTCGTGCTCCGGTTTGCTGGACCACGTCTGGACCACCCTCGAACCGAAATTGTACGTCGACGCATGCCTGTGACGAACCACTTCCCGACCCCGTGCCATCTTTCATACCCTTTCCTTTGCTTGTATCATACCAACCCCAGGAAAACCCCGTTTTGAGTTCTTGCTTTCGGGTGCCGCATTTTCCTTTTTGAGAGCTTTTTCGACTGCCGAGTTCTGTTTTTCTTCTTGCAAAGTCGGGAAGTACATGGGATTTTGTGTGCGCCTTAGCGAGCGCACTGGGAATTGGGCTCGGTATTTGGGAATTCCGGGATAAGCGGAACTTCGACGGGTCCTTTTTGGGTGTGTGAATGTTCTTGGGCGCGTCGGGGAAAACTCTCGGAATTTCGCGTGAATACGAATAGGCATAGGATTTTTCCCGCGTCGCTTTTTCGCGCGCGGATATGGTGATTTCAATTTTGAATTAGGATAGAAGCAAACTGTAACTTTTTCAGTGCCTTTTTCTTTCTTTTTTTGTTGACGGCGCCACACATGCAGAGGCTTTCTCCTCTCTGTCCCCCGCATCGCTCCCTCCCGCGCTCCCTTTCCTTCTCCCTCCTCTTTCTCTCTCCCCGTAACTGTTTCTTCCTCTCCCCCCCTCCCCCGTCTTGCTGCTTTGCGCGCCCATTTCCCTTTCTTGATCGTTTGAATCTTGGACCCGTCTTGCGCCACTTCTCACACCTTTTCTCTTCTCACCCTCTGAGTCTGGCATACGACTCCCAGTCAATCCCCCGATGATTCCCGCTCACCAATCAGGTGCGTGGATCGATAGGACCTTCCTATCGCGCGACGAATCTGATTGGTTGAACCTTGAGTTCCGAGGGATCAACATGGCGTTCTCGGAGCGCTCTTCTCAAAGTCTTCTCCTCCTCCTCCTACACCCCCGCCTTCCCGTCGTTCTCTCCTCCTTCTATCTCCTCTGTCGCAACTATAAAACCCGCAAGCGCACCCGCCAAAGCTCTCTTACGTTCTCGACTCTCAAGCAAGCTTCCGGGAAGCAGTGGCTAGGCCGAGTGTTTGAAGCGATTCGGAAGGTCCTGTCGGCTGACGATAGACTGGCGG